AACACATATCTGAAGAATTAATAAGAAAGAGATTCTGTCACAAAATAACGTTTGACCATGCCGTTTGATGTAAACAGCAGTTAATTCAACATCTCCCGAACATAATTCAACTACGCAGCCACGCAACTGTTGCATACCCTCACCTGTGGCTGTCTGCATGTATTGTTACATCTTCGTGCCCTAGAGGTAACCTTTGTCCTTTTACAGAAGCTTGCCCAGGCCTGGCATCGATTAGCCGCATTCCCTTGTTGACACTCCAACATCCCCTCCCCCCTCTTGGTACTCTCTCACCCATACGTTTCAATATCACAAGAATATAATTTCAAAGGTAAATAGTGATTATGGGTTAAAACCAAGCAACGAATTGCGAAAGAAAATACGAATTCTGTAATTGAAAATTGTAGGATTTGAGATTTTAGTGCCGCGTAGTCTGGTAGAAGTTTAGTGATGTTTCAGAGGTCCTTGCCTCCTCCATCATCAGGACGATGATGGAGGCAGCAAGGACCTCTGAAACGTCGGCAAACGTCTACCAGACTGCATGACGCTGCAACCCAGAAGACATCTATCTAATAATTGGAAATTACTTGCTATCTAACACTCAGATTTCTACGTCATTATTCTTGTCTTGACTTGGTTTCGTTCATATCCGGCACGAATTATGGTGAACGCTTCTTTCTAACTACATACACACAAGCTAACTAGCAACCTGGCGAGTGGTCAACTCTAGCCTTAGTAACCTATCGATAATACACGACGGTAAGAATATGCATAGAAGTTACATTTACATACATGCGATAGAAACAGGTAAATTTAACCTCAGTGTGTCTCATAGGAACAAACGTAGGTTATAAAATGGATTCATCTGGCTCAGGAGAGGGTCTATTAGCGGACTTCTTTAAGCACAACATTTGGTACTTTTACTTGAACGAATAAAGCAGAAATTCTGAAGCATGCTCTAAAGTGGAAAAAAAGAGGCTGGATGCGCCAGAAAAGACAAAAGTCCAAAAGCAAATATAAACACAAAATAATGGCACGAATTCAAAATCAGTAAAAAAATTCAATTTTTTTCGGAAATAACAATGACAAATAAGTGCAATTTTAAAGAAATTATCGTAGAAATAAATTCCTGTGTTGATGATTGTTATTCCTTAAAAAGTGTTACCACTGCAACTGCTTTCCAAAGCAATTTAAAGCTGACTGAATACTTGAATACAGAGTTCATAAATTTATTACTTGTTTAGTATAGCTGTGAAATGATGTCTTTTACTTCTACGCTAGGACATTAATTAATAAAATATCAGAATAAGATACTTTGAAGAATGCTTGGATGCAAGAGGGATGAAGCTAAGAAATGAATTTAGAATATTACGTCATAAGCAGTTTATAATTTTATTATGATAGTCCCATAAATCGTATATATTATTCAGATCAATGGTTCGGACTTCCTTATAATAAACTCTCCCAATTCTGATAGTAATGCTAGAGAAGTAGTCTGATAATATGCCCATATTTCGTTACCTATTTTCTCGTCAATTCTACTAATCTGATTTTAACCAAGTTAAGTATCTAACTTATTATGATTTTCACCTGTAAGTTTTGATAAAACATTTTTATAAAACTAATCAAGGGTAATTAATAGCTGAACACATCTCAACATCGCCGTTCATGGGGGCTACTTTCTTGAAATCCCTGCTAACGGTAAAAATGTAATGCCCGAAATTCAGACCACATGGGGAAAATGTGGTTGGGGAAAGAGAAGACAGCCAAAACATGACAAATGATATATGCATTAATTTCTTGAAGTCACATACATACAGTTGTATGTAAAAGGCTTACTGAGTTATTTCAAAGACAATATCCACAAAGTAGACTTAGGCCGTGTAATACAAGAAGATATTGTTCGCACATGTTTTGTTTTTAAATAAGTATTTTTTAATCAAGGTTAAAAAAGCTAAAACATATCAGACAGGATTATAAGTGTGCGCTCAAAAAGGACTACACTGAACAAATTTAAGTCTATGTATCGTATTTTAACTTGGAAGCAATTTATGAAATCATTATACTTTCTTAATTAGTATTAATATACAGCTTGAGAATAAAGCGATTTCGTTCAAAAGTGATAACTAACGAACTAAGTACCAATAACAGCCTGCTAATAGGCCAGATTATGAGCCAGTTGAATTCAGACAACAATAGCACAATATTTTTTTAGATACATTTTAATACAGTGGATTCCGGTTAATTGGGACGCATCGGGACTAGAACACTTTGGCCCAATTAAGCGGCTGCCCCAATTATGAGGAGTTCCATTTAAAGATTTAAAAATGTTTTCTTCTTTAAGATTTGTCACAAATAAACGGCTGCCCCGATTAACTGATGGCCAAATTAACCGGAATATTCTGTATTACTGTAATAATAATCCTAGTTGACGTGGAGTACAAATTACTACAATTTTATGCATCGTTCTGTAACCTGTTCTCTGTTGGGTTCAAATATTCTGTCCAGAAACCAGTTCTCAAACCCACTCAATCTGTGTTCTTCGGTTATGGGTAGAGACAGCGGATATTTCAGTTACTTTGAATGAAGGATGTATTTGGGCTGAATTGTATTAAGTGCCTGTAACTTGGAACGTTAGAATAGTTTTCTTGAAGGGGTAAGATTTATCGTTTTGTGTACTTATCAAGAGGTACTCTCTTTGTAAGGAAAGCTTTTTGTGATGGGGCACTCTGGTGCCTTGAGCTCAATCTGTTTTAGCATTAAGTTCGATCATTTGCGATTCTTGAGTGGCCGCTACTGAGTAGTGTCGTAGAAGTTGAGACTGGAATGTGTGGGAGGACACCCTGGCTGAATCGACCGTGTACTCTCACCCGGGAACTCTGTCTCTTGTGATAAGATATGTTAACATCAGAGAAGCAGTACCAAAATTTTGGGGGAAAAACCCTCTGTTAAGTGTACCACCAATTGCCCTCCAATTTCATGGACTTATGGCATCGTCAAACGTTTCAAATTTTGAAGAATAAATTTGTAAGAAGTGTTGTGGAATCTGAGAACAGCATGAACTTCACTTTCTCTTACAAACGATTTGGAAGACCGAGACGAATTACCGCCAGTATCTTTCTAGATTTACTTTGTATCTGACGTCATGTACCAACATTAATAAATACATAAATGTGGATATGTTATTACCAACCAGAAGCTGAAAGCTCATTTAAATATTACTTTTCAACAACTTGCCTGCCCATAAAACTAAATGACATTTTATATTGCACCATCTGGGCGTGGACACACGATATGGCAAGAACGAAGGGATATTTCAGGAAGAAACGAGACAAATTAGGTCATTTATAGGAAATGGATAAAAGAAGACGAATATTTCTGTTATAGACAGGGGATTTATTTTGCGACGGGCAAGATGATCGATTCATCTTTCGATCGATTTTTATGGTTTCTGTGGGTTTATTGCTCTGTTCCGTATTCTAAAGAACACAAGATTTATGTTACACAGTAGTAAGAAAATTAGTCTGGAAATAAACATAAAGTAATATTTATGTCTTATCACCAGATTGCAGTTGATCATAACGTAAAGAAAGCGAACACATACTTCAAGAATCAGGTGAAGTTTAGACACTTGGAAACGACAATAACAAATCGTTATTAGTTATGGAGAAATTAAGAGTTGATAAATTTGAGAAATAGGCAAATAAGCTATCATTCAGGTTCAGATAGTCTGCCTAATGTTCTTCTAACATACACCACGATTTGAGACTTCGTTTATCACAGGCGGATAATGTATTGTCAAGTTTAGTGAGTATCAGCTTCTGAAAATGAACTTAATATAAATTGTTTTATTTAGATTTTTGTTGTTTCTCAGCACGTACCTAGCCCTGGTTGTGTTCGAAAGGTAAAACCAAGCGACAAGAAAATTCAAAGGGTAAAGCTCAACTGAATAATCTTTAAATTTTAGTTCCTAAATAAAAACGCAAAACAAAATTACCGAACGCCCTTACAAGGTTGAAATAAGAGGGAAATTAAGGATTTAAATAAAAACGAACTTCATTAAATTTGTCACAGACATTTCACATTAATTATATTTGACGACTATTTCGATTTTCAGTTGTTATACATCATCAAATGAGAAACACTGCGTTAATTAATTTTGTGTCAGTGAAGTACCCTCAGGGCCATGATAATATATGTCGCTGCCTACTTTCTAATAGGGGTAGCTGTCAAATACTAAACAGACTATTTAACATCACGTAGAAACATGATCCAAGTATGGTTAATATTATAATTATTTACTGAAATTTAAGTAAATATAAGTCAAAGTACGGGTTTAGAGTCCATGTTAACAAGTTTAACTAAAAATCTATTTGTTCACAAATGCCATTAAATATTAATTTTATAAAAGATTAACAGAATGATAATGTCACATGCAAACAGTCAAATGGAAGTTAATAAATAAATTGTTACTACGAAACGTATATGAAAATTCAAAAGCCATGTATATCGAAATGCTATGTTTACCTGTCAAACACATAAGTTCACCTGTAATGTTCTACACTGTATCCTGACGCCAATTGTAACAAATTAACAAAAAATATAAGCAGATCTATTCTGAAGGGTTCTGACTGTGGTGTAATCCAATCTGGATTGCTGAGTTTATGGATTTTGTCCTTCTGATGTTATAAAATTACACAACGTCGAAGGCTTGATTTGTCCTCGTCTTCAGGTATGTTATAAGGAACGGGTATCTACTTTATGGGGTCTGTTAGAATGATCTCTTCTAAGTCACTGTGGTCGCTTTTTCGAAACGTTGTGTAATTTTGTTACATCAGACGATGGACAATTCCAAAAACTCAACAATCCTTATTACATGCAGCTGAAGCTGTCGCCCCTGCAACTAACGCTAATACTTTGTATGCTAACAAGAAGAAAGAATGTTGACTGCAGGCACTACAATTTAACTAAAAAAGTTAAAGCAGATATCTCATTAGACCTACCTAGTGATGTTGGCGTTGCTATGAAGTTGAAATCAGGTCTAGTAGATGTGTCTAGTGCCACCATACTGTTACCTCACTCAGTTGCTTCTTCTGCTTTATTTTATAAAGTTCACAAACGAAAAGATGCGGTAGTGCAGAATGGAAAGTATTAAAATGGCTCTCGCTGATATATTTAACCAAAACATTTAAAAAATGGCACTTCACAATTTACTCTCTTTGTATTTCGTGTATGTATTCTCTGCTCTCATATGAGACTAATTCCATTTATCGAGTATATAAATCCTTACATTGTTATTATAATTAACCAGTTTTATTTTAAAATTAATAGCATCTATATAATTTCATAATTTAAACACTGAAGAATTTCTGATACAACTTCACTGAAGATCTTATCACCTTATCATTCTGCTGACCACACTTCACTACAGACTTGCCCTATTTATTGTCCCAGAAAATCTATTTACCTTCTATAAGCGTCATTAATCCAGATTCACGTGCAGTGCACTATTGACGCCACCTGGCAGAGTGAAAGTATGGTCTTTAGCAGACCGTCTTGTGCTAGCCTGTTCGGACAGGAACGAGGAAGGATATGGAATGGGAATCTTTACGTATAAGGGGCAACAGCTGTTTCAGTGTTTGTCAACAGAGGAATGCCCCTTCCTTCACTGTATGCGTTCAGTGTGAAACATAGCCAATTATACCGGGAAATATTTATGAATTTACCCAACGTAACTTCTTGTTTGATTGTAAAATGACATAAAAGCATGTTTACGCTGACCCCGCGGAATATTGCGTGGGTTTTGCCCTTTCGAAAACTGTGATTGTGGGTTCGAATTCAACACCAACGACAAATGTTTGTCCTCGTTTTTTGCTGTCCTGTGAAAAGCCGTCTTCCCATTCTACGAGTGCTATCTAATGTCTCAAAGGAATCGAAAATCTGTAAGAAAAATTATCCGAGAAAAGTCAAGGCTTAAAATAAGTTATAAAGCGTAAAATGCAAATATCTTTAACACTCGAAATTAGTATGGCTCATTTACATTTGAAATATATTTATTCAACCCTTTAAATCCCAGTGGTAAATTTGAGTTCCAAAATATTTAAATTACTAATTACTGATTCTGCATTTTGTCCACAGAGGATATTTATGGATTAAGTATGAGTGTTATAAAAATGTTTGTTTTGTTAAAAGACCTTAACCAGTTGATCTTTGTAATGGAAACTTGTGTTTCTTTACGTGTGTTTTGAGACACGGACTACATTTTTAAATATTATTTAGATAAGCTTCGACTACAGAGTTAATTATTTACTTGGATTACAACTGTGATGACTTTAAATTTGAAAACTTTGTACTAATTGCAAAATTAAAAAAATGCTTTAGCAAAAGTCCTCAGGTTGCGGATGGAGTACCCGGCGTCTAGGTATGGAGGACAGTTGCAAATATGTTGCACAAGTACTGAAACAGAGTCGAAAAGGAGCAATTTTCCTCTACCTTTGGAAATATGAGTGGGGCAAACAACATCTAAATTTGGGAAAACAAGTGTGTTATTTACGATTCTTTGGTTCCAACTAGGCAACGGGAAAATGTCATGAGACTTTGACGTCAGTAGTGACTGTAGGGCATGTTTATTAGAATCAGTAGATACAAAACTTTATGGGCGTACGATGTCCTTTGCGACGATGGAGTGACTCAGTGGCTGTTAACAGGACCACTGTTCGTCCCCCAGATAATACAGAAATAAATATAGAGCAGCTGTGGATTAATAGTGATAGGAGAGAAATGAATAACTCAAGAGGAAACCTGTCCCAGTGCCATTATTGTCACTACAAATCCAAAATGGACTGCCCTGAGCACGAACCTGGGCGTCTTCAGTTAAATATACAATGTTTTTTTTTCGGGTTCGAATAAAGATGGGACATGGTAAAATGTGTAACAAGAAGCACGGATGGGAGTTGGAGAAATGCATGTAAAATGTTAGCAGAAGATCCAAATGTTCTGTTAAAGCGAGGGAATGTCATAGCCAAGTGAACACACAGAAACGTTTGATCTAGGATTTCTCTCCAGTTCGTAATTATTCTCGACAATGGATTGGCTTTCTAACTGACCCTTCACATTGTGACAAGGAAAAACAGCTTGATGTGTAAGCTTACCACGTGATTCACAATCCTCAATCCAAATAATATAACTCTCATAATCAGTTGACGCGGAATTGGAAAATAATGGGATAATTGAATGAATTGCCTAATTTAAATTAATTCGCAGTAAGCTTAAATCATTCGGATAAACAAACGTATTCTTTTTTAAAAAGTTGTTCTATAATTATGTGCATTTAACGTGAACGTGGAACTGATTATTTAATTCCAACATGCATATTATATTAAATTATTTGCTGCAGATATTCATTCTGTTTATTTTAATTGTAGTCACGTTAACGGGTTGCTTCTTAATAAATATCAAATATATGATTAAAGTTCGGTTCAATATAGTAACTGTACTGGCGAACCATTTTGATAACTATTAAAAATCAACGGGTTAATGGTACCCATGGGATTCTTTTAACACCTACAAATCATTGGAAATCCATTTTAAGAAAACAGTTAACAGAATTTTTGTAATCTCCCAATTATTTTACTATTTTATTTTCCAAGCAGATAGTCCTGTGTTACATCGTTAATTCTTGCCATAACTTAGTAGTTTGGCTGCATTTTTCTGGTTTCATCATTAGTAACACGAACCAAAATCTTGTAAGGAATTATGTAATCGACACACAAGGTTATGTTTTGGGATCAGGCAAGTATTTAAGATAAAATTATTCCTGTTACTTCCCCCCTACCCTAAATGTGTGGTATTAATTTAATTGTAAAATATCCCGATATTTCAAACTTTAGACAGACAGGCTGAGATATTACATAATTAGGAGCAGCATAATTTATTATACTCTTCACTACATAAATTAGGATGCTCAAATAATGGAGCATGATGGGAAGAACGTGTAGCAGGTACTGGGCAAAACAGAAACGTATACAGAGCTCTAGTTCGAAAAACAGAAGGAAAAAGGCCACTTGGAAGAGACAGACACAGATGAAGGCTAACCAAATATTAAATCGACATTAAAGAAATAAGGTTTCAAAATATATGATTTGAATTCAAATGGCTCGAGACAGGGTCCACTGGGGGATGTTTTGAACACGATAATAATTTTTTAGGATCCGTGAAAAGCTTTCATGTTTAGCCGAGTGACTTATGACTTTTTAAAAAGGACCTTGCTTCATGGAGTTAGCCTAACGTTAAATTTATAGAAATTTTTACAAAAATACAAATAAAGCGAATCTATAAGTAAATTTATATATTGGACAAATTAATCATCACTTCTTTTAGAGCTATGGGTCAGTATAAGGAGGCTACAGGTCAGCAGTTAGCTTCATGCTACTGTCGATTTAAACCAGTACCGATTACATAAAAGGGCTGGGTGGACCCCAGAACCAGTCGAGCCAAACTGGCAAAGGGAAAAATGTCATCCTTGCACGCTCAGTAGTACTTGATATATCCTGGCTCAGCTAAAAATCCCTATTAAAATCACAAATTACTTTTGTAAGATTTAAGGTTTTCACGGAGGCGAGAATGGAGATGGCTGTTTCCTGGATTATTGTGCTGTGTATTATATTAGAAGCTCGGATAATGATGAAGACAGCAAGCAATTCTGAAACTTCGGTAAACTTCTACCAGACTACATGGCAACAACCCAGAAAATAGCATTTAATTTACTTCTGTTACAAGGGCTGCACTGAAATGCTCTGCCATATTAAAGGCAGATGGTCACTTTGGTCATATTTATGACAATTATTTTGGTGCGATGTTACCTATAAATACTTCAAATAAATTCATTTTTGAAGCTGTAAATTTTGAAGATTGCTACTTCCATCATAAGGGTGATGATCTGCCCTGATGACGGCGGCAGCATGACCCAGGAAACTTTGGTGGACATTTTTTTTTGACGCTACAACCCAGAAGACATAAATCATCAGACTCGCCGCTGTGAAAACCTCAAATCCTGCTGTAAATTTTGTTGTAGTATGACAATTAACCTTCAGATACATACGTGACTATGTCTACAATGTTCATATGTTCATCGAATAGTTACTGATGTACGTTCACACTCATATGGGACATACATTACGGTCCATTACCTGTGACATATTCAAAAAGAACTAATTACCGGTATCACATTTAAAATTACATTTTTACGTGCCTGGTTAATCACCACAATCCGTCATTTTTACAATTCATTTTGTAGAACAATCTAATTAAATACTTCTACCGACGGACCATTTTGCTTAATTATCTCTGCACTATAAAGTGTCACGTTTAAATTGTACGTGGTTTCTTTTAATGCGATTATGCTGTGAGCAGTATAGGATCAAAGGTGTAATCATAGCTTTCATGGAGGTAGGGCTCAGCCCCAGCGCACAACAGAGGCTGTGGCACACGGGTTTGAAGGCAGACCCGCTATTCGTCCGTATGCAACAAAAAATTGCTGCCGACACGAGAGTGTCCTTAACAAAAAATATATTACATTCATATCATTTATTTACGTTTATTGGCTTTAAACGAAACCTCAACATAAACTTCACAAAATAGATCCATTTCCTCTTATTTGTTTCATATTTTACAAGGAAAAATATTTCAGCAGGTACAACCGAGGGACTATAATGTAGGCAAATAATAATTCATGTCTACTCTGTTCTTGTCAGTACTGTCTCGGAAACCTGCTGCAGTAGCAAGGCAATGCAAGAGACAGTCAGGGATACCAACTTCATATTCAACACGTTACTGATTAAATACGTAACGGAAGATCAGTCGATATAACTAAAGAAACAAAACATCCCTGAAATATATATGCACAATAAAAAGAAACACAGGGTTCATTATACTTAACAATAACAATAACGATAATAACGAAAGGATTGTTGGATGAGAAGCGACGGCTTCTCGATGTATTTATTAGCCAGCCTACTGCCAAACAGGCGTGCCGTGCCGTGCCGAGCCGTGTCGTGTCATAGAACCGCAACGACACGTCACGTCTGCTGCAAAGAGAATATTTAATTCCCAGATAGTTTTGACGGACATACTAAATAACAACACAGATATATATATATTATGTATAATCATTGTAATAATATAATAGAGGAACACTTGTTTATAACAAAGCAGGATCTACTTGATTCGGCCACGCATTCTTCTGAGCATGCGCGTCAGTGCTGAGAGGTCTCCACCTTGGTACAATGATCAACGCCAATTCATAATAAACATACATTATAATTACACCCAGCACATACATACATGTTCGGAATTAATCTAAAGTTACAGGTCACATTTGTGCTTCATTTCAGATAGAAGCTATACCGCACGTTGGGGTAGAGTTCCAATTATTTCATTCAATGGGGTTGGGCTGATTATTTTATACATTTTTTTTAGCCCTGTAGGAGAAGTAGTTTGTATTACGTGATATAATATGTTAGCAGGGATTCACTGTATGGAATGTGCAATTGGATATCGCTGGGATCAAGATCAGATTCATCCACTTGTAACAATGAATGGATATCTAGAAATATTTCTAAAGTGTGTTCGTTTTAAATTCAGCTGGCTCTCAGTTTTAGGTTAAGGATATTTAGCTAGAGGCTTGGCTGTCATGTTCCCTTCAGCAACAAGTTCTAAGTTGCTTTACTAATGTAGAATAAATTGGGGAAGAGTAAAATGTTGATTTAACGTTACTGGCTGAGGCATTTATTGTTATGTTCCACTTTCGAGGGCACGAACATTCTATAAATATGATTCTCACATACATAGTTAATATTAATAATAATAATAATCATAATAATAATATAGTAAAATATACACATGTACAATATTTATCAGGAAGCTCCCCGCACGAACGGGAGCTCACAAATTCTCCATTTCTTAATATTTTAGATTATTTATTTAAAAGTTAGGCTGATTGTTTTTTTTGTTATTAAAACAATGATGTACAATAGAATAAAAATAACGGCTTTAGAAAGTAAAGAGATACACAGGATGAAACAGGGACAAAAAATAAGACGTGACACAGACCGAAAGATTAGAAGAAAGAATTACGAAGACTAAACCAGCATACTACAATAGTGACTCTCTACAACAAGTCCATCTTAAAACACAATTTAAAATGCAAAGAAACATCCAATACTTCTTCCAACACATATATTTTGTTTGTTTTTTTAATTTCAATCGAAAAAATCCACGAAGTGCGACGTGCGTAGGCTAATATATAAATAACAAGTGTGGCAGGATTTATGTCGTATCACAATGTTGCAGTGCTTAAACGTGAATATAGAATATAGCTAAATGTGCTATGTAACATGAATATAAAAAGAACATCTTTTTGTTCTTAGATTGGTGTGTATGTGTAGGATGTGAGTGAGTGTGTGTGCATTTTCACCTTCAAAAAATCGTTTTAATTCGGTGCTTTAAAAGGAAACACAAAAGCAAAACGCGAAAGGATACACAATGAAAGCACAACACGTATAGTATGGGCGTATGCTGGTTATTGAACTGGATTACAGGGATGGAGGTCTACTCTTCTCAGATGGGTTGTGGGAAATGGGGGGGGGGGGCAATTGGTTCTGGGTTGGAAGCTGGGTGTCTTGAATTTCTGAATCTCTAATAAATGTGGTTCTCTCCGAATTTGGTTCAGGAATGCACAAATAAAACATGGGCGCCTGCGCAAAATGTATCACCCACCGACCTGAGAATAACTTGTTTAAACATGCACAATTTGTTATTGAAAATGTAGACAGACAAGGGAACACTCGATCTGTCCTCTTTTAGTTTCAGTACGTTGGTAATTGATCGAGGTAAGCGAAGAAAGATACAAATAATGTACAAATAAGTGTTTCGGACAACAATGGCGACAGTTTCCATTATTGCACCATTTTTCTTACGCCTGCCTTAACTTAGGCAGGAAAATATGATTCATTGATTCCCATTCTTCCCTCTTCAGTGTAGGCCAGGTGTATGTAACAGAGTTGTTCTTTTAAGAATCCGTTGTTAAGATTCAAATCTGATGTAGAGGACATCTTGTCTCACCCTACGTCAGACCCATAAGTAGAACGAGTGAGGAAAGTGCAGTACATAAAATATAACGTAACAGAACAAATTATAGGTCTTACTTTCAGCAATACATATTAACATTTCATATCATCATGTAATAATTACTTTTGGTTATAGTTCTGGTTGGTCTGTACACCTTTCGTTGGTTTGAATTATTTGGTCTGAACTTACCGACGAAGAGGCTTCTGCGTTCTGTCATATTCTTAAATTGATTCAGTACAGATAAATATGCGTGAAATTTCATGCGAATTTAAGATGTCACATACTTTGTGATAATGATAAATATTTGTGTTATTATTATTTAAAAGTCGATCACTCAAACAGTCTGGAGTCATGGCACTTTGAAATCATTATATTTGTTTCATAATAGAGTTCAAATGTTTAGAACTTGTGAACTTTTTTTTTGGTTATGTATTTTGGTTACGCTGAGAGCAATGTCACTGCCCACCTTCCACTTACGAGACAATCAGAAAATTTCTTACAAAGGTCCCAACAGGTTTACGGTAGACCAACATAAACACCAGTAATGTTATTTGTTTTTAAAGACGTTATTAGATTTTTTGCAGATATTGTTTGTAACAAATTTATGGGGATAAATGTAACAATATATTAGTCACGACGAGTGACTAATTGTTTGAATATCTATAGGAGTAATACGTGACATAGTTTTGTTCTGCATAAAAAAAATATTCGTAATTTTAGGAAAGGAGTAACAATATGGTTAACAGTGCACTTTTTTATGTAAAAATGGTTTACATAACAACAATGTATTTTTCGGCGACAGTGTAGCCAACATACTCTCAGTCACAACCAATTTAAGAAAATTACTTTTTTCCAAGCACGCATATTTATTCTGATGGTTATGACATTTTCCTATAGACCGGAGTTCTAATAGAACAGACTTAAAACTCAGCGTCTCATTTCCACAGCAATTACATATAGGCCGATCCAAAATTAACAGAGAAGTGTACAGTAGCAACATACAAGTTGTAGGAAGACGTGGTGGTATTCGTTTCAATAAGCGACATAACTATTCAATCAAAACGCGCTGTTATCTCAAGACTTATCAACTGTTACGTCTTTGTCTTGGCCACAAACCCCATTCAGAAACTGTTTATAGTAAACACAAATGCGCATGAGCAGTGAAGTATCAGCTGCAGAATTGGCTACAATGTAACTATAAAAGATGAAATGGTGTTCTGCAAGCTGACTGGGATTTGTGATTAAAAAGTTACGTCATTAATTTTTAAGTGTTTCGTTAAAATTCTTCTCATTAAAGAGATCATCAATCATGATATTTAGTATTGGAAAA